TGTTTTTTGCACCATTCTCTGTAAACCCTAGAGATGGTTGTGTGTGAAAATCCCAGTAGATCAGCAGTTTTTTAAATACTCAGACCAGCCAGTCTGGCACCAACAATCATGCCACGTTCAAAGTCACTTAAATCCCCTTTCTTCCCCATTCTGATGCTCAGTTTAAACTTCAGCAAGTCGTCCTCACCATGTCCAGATGCCTAAAGGCATTGAGTTTCTGCCATGTGATTAGCAATTTGTGTTACCAAGCAATTGAACAGGTGTACCTGATAAAGTGGCTGGTTAGTGTATGTATATATACTGTATTTATTGATAAGGTAAAAACTCATTGTAGAGGTTTATTTTTGACATTTTGAGGAGGTACAAGCTTGTCTTCCTAAGGACACGGTTGTGCCTCATCGAAGTGTCAAAATAAATCTTATCACTGAGAATTCACCTTTTAAACCCCATAAGCGCTGCCTTATCTTTTGGATTATATGTATCTGTATATTATACATAAAATCTAAAGTACCAGCTTAGTGAAAGTAATTGGAAGCTGACATTTTGCAGTTTGTCTGAGTAAGAGAGTATAGGCCTTTGTATTGCCCCATGACTCCCAACCCAAAGCTTCACCCAATGGTGTTAACCCCATCATTTCCTGATCCTGAGATGAGATTACAGCCTTATGTAATGATAGGAATGGCATAGTGCTTAGCTTCCTGTATCCACCTTCATCCTCTGTATGTAAAATTTGCAATATAATTATATTTTTGTCATATTTGGTGTTATGTGCGCATGGCCAAATCAGTATGCATTCACAGAGAGACATTTCTTTTTTGGGTAAATTTTCAGATTTTAATTTCAGTTCGTATGTTAGGTTTTGGTCCAGTTTATGGATTCATGAATGCGAAATATGAAATTGTTTAATATCTGATTGTTTTTTTAATGGTTCTGCAAGTTATCAAGTATTTACCCCAATCATTACCTCTTTGCAGTATTACTATTCCATCAAGGACATATCAGTTGGAGGGATGTGCATTTGCTATGGTCATGCTCGCAGCTGTCCCTGGGATGAAGTGACCCAGGTAAGTGAAAGCTGAGAGTTCTCTATTCCTAGGACAAAAGGAAGCTCTTGCATTTTCAGTTGGGTCAGCTGAATTCAATCATATAATTTTGTCTTAGTCATTAAAATAACATTCTTTGTCACTCTAGGTTAATATTTAAAAGCTTCTTCATATTATCTCTTTCTACAGAAACTCCAGTGTCAGTGTGAACGAAACACTTGCGGAGAGAGCTGTAATGAGTGTTGCCCTGGTTACCATCAGAATCCATGGCGACCTGGCACCATTTCGGTTGGCAATAAATGTGAGAGTAAGTTGGATCTCAGTTCCACTGTATGAAATGAGAATATGTGAACTTCTGTCAGGGCATTTTTTACTTTGTTCAGTTACTTTTTCTTTCTGGTAGGTAATCATCTAGGTCCTAAAATATATCACTACAGCCTTTGACTAATATTGTTACTTTATGTAAATTGAAGAATAAACTTCTTTTGACCTGTTCAGAGATTACTCATTTTTTGTGACATTGGTGAATGTTCAAAGACGCATGATTCTATATACCAACGTACGTTATTTATCAAACTTTGTGAATGAAAATTATATTATAAGTCATAACGGCTTAGTATGTTCTTCCATTGAAAACCAGTACAAAAGTCTAAAAAAAAAAAAGTCAGAGCAGTAAAGCATAGCTACATGAAATTTTTTAAAGAGAAGAAAAGGTACCACTCACCAACCCAGTGCATTAGGTGAGCCGGGTGAAACATGTTAGGGGGATATGGCTGGAGTGGCACTGGTTGAGCCACATTCATCTACATACTAATGCACTGGATTGGTGAGCAGTGCCTTTTCTTCTTCTGTGGAAATGGTCTTACACCTCTGAATGGTGTACTGATGCCTACTCCCTTCACTGCAACCGGTGGGGAGATCTCTGCCTCAGCTTAGAGCAGCACTGCAAGTTTAATTTCAATCACTGTAGTATTTTTAGTTATTATTGAAGAGACAATATTAAGAGTATATTTTCACATTGTCCTTGGAAGCTGGTAGATGTGAAATGTTACTTGTAAATATTCTATATTTACTGTTTTTGAGTACTCAGTAGCATGCACAAGGCAAAAACACAGCCTGGACTGTCTGAAATAATACCTGCTGTTAATTGTACATACTGTGTGAAAGCTTGCTCTGCCTTGTTCACTTATTTTTCCATCTCTGTGGCCATCTTAAAGGATTCCAACCAAAAAACAGTGAGGACAGGTGTAGAAAATTTGTTTCAAGATGTTGGCCATCTTGATCAGATTTTAATCATCCTTAACTATGCTATACTTCATAAAGCAATTTTGGCATAGCATGAGTGGTATACTAATTAGTGTCACTCCTGGGGAATGACACTGCACTGATCAATAGCAATGTATGTCATACAAGAACAACATACTCTGCTGCCGCCTGCCAAACTGGGTTTATTTTACTATTTCATATATCATAATATTGCATCTAATCTAACTACTGTCAAATTGCTGAAAATGTTAATGCTGGTTCTGACAGAAAAATTTAAGAACATACAGTGCATCTCAAGAAATAGGGCTACATAGCCGGAGATTGGTCACGGTGCCCATGCTGACCCATAGCCACAAGCAAAAAGTGCCTACAATGGGCATGTGAGCATCAGAACTGGACCGCAGACCAATGGAAGAAGTGAATTCGAACTTTCTTTTCGGCCCCACATCCAATCACTGTCCAAAGCTTGCCTCCTCAAGCTCCGCAACATATCCAAAATTCACACCTTCTAACCAATGACACCACAAAGCTTCTATTTCACTCTGGTCATTTCTTGCCTCGAGTACTGCAACTCCCCTCTTCATTGAATTACCTTTATATAGGCTATCCCCCCTTCAGTCCATCATGAATGCTGCTGCCAGACTTGTCTACCTTACCAACCATTCATTATCAGCTAACCCTCTCTGCTGATCCCTTCATTGGCTGCCACTCAATGAACTAAATTCAAAACACTAAGAATTACTTACAAAGCCATCCACAACCCAGCCCCCCAGCTACATCACTAACCTAGTCTCAAAATATCAACCAAATTGTTCTTATTTTTCCTCCCTGAAAAGCCTTCTCTTCAAATAAGCCTATCCTACCTCCACCTAACACTTGTATTTCCAATTTCTCCATCAACTCATCCCCCCCATTTATTACCTTTTGTATCACTTGACCAGTCCCTTTAGATTGTAAGCTCTAATGAGCAGGCTCCTCTGACTCCTCCTGTATTGAATTGTATTGTAACTGTACTGTCTGCTGTTGTAAAGCACTTCGTAAACTGTTGGCACTATATAAATTCTGTATAATAATAATAACCTTCTCTTTTCTCGTGATATCAGTGATCTGAGTTTTGACCTCTGCCAAAAGTAAACTTCTAGTTTTTGAGGATTTTTGCATTGATCTGGTTCATGGCTGTCGGACATGGGTCATTAATTTGAATTGATGTTTAAACATTCCCTTGGCCCTTTTATTTAATAGTATTTCATAAGGATTTTTCAGTATTAAATGGCTCAACAGTTTATGTAAAGTTTGGTATATTCTTATCAAGAGGCAAGAGCAGGTCCACCAAACATGGGCAAAAGCAGAGAGAACAACTGGAGACAATGTGAGCTATGGGACTTGGCACCATATATTGTCTAAGTAGCACTATATAGTTTTCTCTAAATCAAAGACATTTTGAGAGCATGTTTTGGTGGTATTCCATATTTGTACCCAATCATTTGATAAGAATAAAGTTTAATTTAAAACCTATTTATTTATAAGACATTAAAAATAATTATAGTTTTCCTTTAAACAGCTCTGGGGATTTATTAAGACCTCAGTTTACTTTGGGACATTTTTATGTTGCTATTGATTTACTGTTTATTATTTTTCTTTCAGAATGTAATTGCCATAATAAAGCAGAAGATTGTTATTATGACCAAACCGTGGCGGATCGGAACATGAGCTTGAATATTAATGAACAGTATATTGGAGGGGGAGTTTGTATCAATTGCAGTCAATTTACAGCTGGAATTAACTGTGAATCATGTATAGAAGGTTATTACAGGCCTCACAAGGTGCGTACAAATGACCCAACTAATGAAGAATGGTTCTGGTAAGGTAATGAATGATACTTAACTATTTTCTTTCTGTTCAGGTGTCTCCCTATGAGGAAGCACCATGCCATCCATGTGAATGTGATCCATTTGGTTCTGTTAGTCCTGTTTGTGTTGTTGATGACAAGCATGCTATGCAAGGTATGGTATTTCTAACTGAATGATTATTATATTGTTACAACCACAAGTATAGAATTAACTAGTCAGGTTACTTGCCATTGTTCTCTGTCTTTCCTGTTCTGACTAATACCCTTCAAATAAACTGTAAGTAAAAAAAATCCTAAATGGGAGGCAGGAATAAAGAATTGGCAAACATTCTAACCCTTCCAAACTCTTGGGGGACAATATTTTGTTAAATGCAACTGTTTTCAAGTATTCCGATTAAAGCTGTTGAAGTTATGCAGTTTTTCTTTTGTTTTTTTTTTAATATCTGTATAATGGTATCTGTGCTAATATATGACTAAGTACAATTAACAGCACTGACAGGCTTATTCAATAAGAATACCCAAAGGGCAATGTTTTATAACACAGCAAAGTACCAGAAATCCTTCCTTAAGTGATCAGACTCATATAAATATAAATCCGATTAGTTGCTATGGGCTGCCATTATTAAAGAAGCATTTTCCAAGACCTTTTAAAATGTTTAAATCTGTATTTTTAGACATTTTTATTTGTCAGGAGTGCTTTGTGCAGCATTGTCAATATTGTGTATTTTAAAGGTGCTCTACCGGGTCAATGCCATTGTAAGGAAGGTTATACCGGAACAAAATGTGATCAGTGTGCTTTTGGATACAAAGGATACCCTCACTGTATACGTTGTAACTGCAGCCTTATAGGAAGCGTGAATGATGATCCTTGTGCAGATCAATGTATATGTAAGGTGAGTGTAAACTGTATAATTTACTCTAAATACACATTTTTGTGCTAAATCATGATATGTTGCCAGGAGTTTGGGAGGTTAGGATTTGCTGCAGTAATCATCCTCAGAACCACATCCAAATAAGGACATATTAGGGAACTAGTTGAAATATGGCACAAACTTAATGGGTAAAATAATGATTGTCAGATGCCGGGAGTTATATTTGAATGTTATCCTTTTCTGATACTGTCAATTATACGCAAGCTCCTTCAATGTCATGGGCAGCAGACACTGTTGACTGCATGTGCGGGTTCTGGAATTCCTGGAGTGAAGGGAGTTGGTGACTGGAGTATGGTGGAAACCCAGAGGAGAGCAGAAACTGGCCATGGAAGCCTGGGATCCAGAGAGACAGCTCTGGAGAAGAGGTTTAGGATCTGTGCTGATAAGCAAAGACTGGGGTATGGTTTTATGGTCTAAGCAGACAAGTAGGGGATACAATGGTATGATAACAAGTGGCAGAAGGTTTTCACTGAAGTTCAGATTCTGGAAGTGCCAGATTTTCATCATATCTCGTGATAGTGAGGTTGGGTTTGGTACAGAGCAGTTTCCAGGATGTGATCCTAGAGAATGACTTACTGTCAGTACAGACAGGTAGAGAACCAATCCTAAAGCAGAATCATAGTCAACCAACCCGGGGCAGCAGAATACAAAATTAAATATAGAAGCAAAGAAGATCGGATACCAAAGGCCAACACAGGACAGGCTATATGAGGTTAAAAGGACACATGCTTTGCAAATACAGAAACACAAAGTAGCTCAGAGGTCAGATCACTATAATCTACATATGTATGCACAAACCATGCTCAGGCAATGCAGAATGTAAGATTATTTTGGTAATTCAGTAAGGATGGATGTAATTTTTAGCCAAATAGGATGTAACTAGCTGAAAGAATTATAGCATATATGGTTAGCAATGGTTTATGATATGTGTCCTGTGTGTCTCTCCCGTTTCTCAGGAACATGTGGAAGGAGAGAACTGTGACAGATGTAAGTCTGGATTCTACAATCTACAAGAGAGGAATCCAGAGGGCTGCACTGAATGTTTCTGCTTTGGTGTTTCTGATGTCTGTGATGAACTCTTTTGGCATACCACTCAGGTATTTTAAAATGATGTCTATTAATTGCTATAGATTGACTTATAAAGACACATTTTTGTTATAAATATTGTAGTTTTTAGAGATGCTGACAAATGTTACAAAATCTAATATTGTTAAGTGGACTCCAATGTCAGCTATGTGGTGGAAAACCTCTTCAGTACTCAGAAACTAAATAAGGTATCAGAAAATGGGATTTCTGCTAACTGCCCCAGAAATGTTTCGAATTAACATTTTACACTTCTAGCATATCATTTAAAAAATGTCTTGTGGCAAATTTGTATCCAAGTTCAAGCATCAGTCGAAGTGTTTTGCAAATTTTTAGCTTCTTTAGGACAGTAAAAAGCTTGACAAGATATCTACAGAAATAAACAAGATTTAAATTTCATACAGTACAAAGAAAAGAACATATGTTGATACTCTATTTAGTTGTTGTATACCAATATTTGGAATGAACCTCCTTTCTATTCTATATATTCTTTTGGATGTATAAGGAACATTCAGAAACACATTCTCTCGAGTGAATGTCCAACCAGAGTTTTCTTTTCTAGTTTGGGTAGTTTTGGAAGGGTGAGAACATCTGTAATGTTTTAATACTGTATGTGTCCCCGTTAGAGAAATTTAATTTACCGTACTCTCCCAGTTCTGTCTGATGTCTGGACAGAAAGTGAGTAGAATTTTTCCAATGGGGTCCTGAGCAGCAATTTAATTTTTATCCTGTCAGCAGATTGGCCTCTACATTTTTGGCACAGTGCCTAAAAATAGAAAGCAACTGTGCAGAGCAGGGTGAGACAATGTTTTATCGGATTTTAAATAGGATAGGCACTTATTTTTAATGTTTTACATAGCTATACCTGCAAAACGGGCTAGCCGGAAGTGATCTAGAAGGACTTAATTTTCTGGCTAAAGTTCCACTTTAAGGAAAATCTTCATATTAGGCAGACAGAAATAAAAAAATAAAAACTTAGCAGATGTTCTAACCTATCTTCACTGTATCTAAAGCTGCAAACATTGGCTGGAGGTAGGCTTTACAACTGTTGGACAAGCTATTACAGTTATAATATTCAATGTTCAATCATTTTTTTTGGCGCAGATGTCTGATATCCATGGTTGGCATGTCAGTGACTTGCATGGATCTGAGAGAATTTACCCACAACAAGACCTGTTTGATGGTCCTCATCAAATAAGCATCAATAACTCTGAGGCCAGGAAGATATTTCACTCCATCTATTACTGGGAGGCGCCATCTTCTTACCTTGGAAATAAAGTATGACTTCTATGATATTTCAATTTTATTGAGCTTTGCAAAATTGTGCACCTTATGCTAAGAAAATGCTTTAGTGTCAGATCTTGTTTATTCCATTATTTCACTTCAAGTCTACCAGACAGGGTGTGTCTAATTCTATCAAAACTGATATTAGGAGAAATAGGAGAAATTCTACAGTCTCTAGTAATCTGGAATACCCATAATATTCCTGATTAACTGGCAAATTATGTGACCTAAGCTGTCTTGACCTTTGTTGCTTATTGATCTGACAATGGCTGGAGCAGACCTTTGTACTGAAAATTTATATAAGGTGACCTAGCTCTTTAATACATAAGGACAATGGTGTAAAGCTAGGTACACACCATAGGCATGCGCACAGGAAGTGCTGGATGCGCCTTGGCACACCCTAATCACCCCGTGCTCATTTGCATAGCTGAGCGCTACTCTCTGCACTGGGTGTGCCACTTCTGTACAGAGCAGCTATTCTTGGTAGTGACAGGGCGGGTTATGTCCCCCCATCCATCTCTCCCCACAACTGTGTTGTTGAAGAGCAGGTTGAGCTCTGGTGCCCGCTCTCTTTTGCTCCTACTGCTGTATAAGGGACACAGAGGACAGCATGTATGTCTGCTCCCATCTCCTCCCTCCTGGATGGTGTGCTGAAAAGAATTAGGAGTAATGTAGTCTGGAGGGGTGGGATTGCAATGAAAATGAATGGAGCTACAGATTGTAATAGCCACAAGGGGGAGGGGAGACAGAACGTTTTGGGAATGATTCCACAAGATACTAGAGTTAGTCTAAGGCCCCATTCACATTATCGCATAGAGGGAACAAGAACCTCCAAAATGCAATTCTGACAGCATGATTTTCACAGTATTTTGCGTCTTGCATAGGGCAGCGCATTCACTTGAATGGGCTGCCCTATGTGCATTTTTCACCCATAAAGAAACTATTGCTCCTTTTCCAGTGACATGCTTCATGCAATTTTCAAAGGAGCCATTTGCAATGTGATCCTGTCATGTGACAATCATGGCAGAATTGCATCACATTTTGTGTACTATTGAAGTACAATGGCACCCAAACGTGCGCCATGAATGTGGTTGTGCACAATTACTGAATGGAGTGAGTGAGGACCTGCTACCAGGGGGTGTCTGAATCCATATACCCCAGAAGGTTGAGATGGCTGAGCTGCTGTGCACCTTTTGTGTGTGTGGGGGGAAAACGGGAGCAGTGTAGACCCAACATTGGGTATCTGTGCCATACCAGGGACCATGGAACTGTCACTAAGTGTTATTTGGCTGCACTGGAACCCAAAGGGACCTGTTGCTTTGTGGGCCTACTGCCTGGGTGAGCCAGTCAGGAACAGATTGTGAGGCCTGAGAATTTTAGTGCCTGCAGACCACCAAGCCATTTAGACTGTATTAATCGCCTATCAGGAATGGTGAGTTGAACTGCATATCTTACCTTCTTGCCACATACGTAGTCAACACCATAGAGAATGCTTTTATGCAGCCGCTGAACTACATACTGTACATCACTAAACCTCTTAAAGGGACTGTCACGGTAGAGGGACCCCTGCCAAATGGCCAAATTCCTCCCTGTGCTCCAGTGACCCCCCCCCCCCCCCCCTCCACCTCTCATCCTGCCGCCGTGGGATGAGAGGTGCGGCTTTCATCACCCCTGCTACTGTCGTCTCTCTCCCCGGCCATGGCCGGAGAGGAGAAGGTGGTGAGACTCACACCTCTCCTCGGAGAGGTGCGAGCCTCCTGCAGGGATGTTCCGGGCTACGGCGTCTCGCTGACACCACCGCAGCCCTGTCATCCATAGCACGGGCACGGGAAGTTCCCGCGCTTGCGAAAGTCCCCAGACAAAGGCCATGCTCACGAGAGGTGCGGCCCCTGTCCAGGGGGTGTGCCTCATTGCCAGTTCCGGCCCGCCTCGGTTACCTAGACGACCAGGTAGCATCCTGCATCAGCTTTAGAAGCTGAGGCCGGGTGCTCCGGGTCGTTGTTCACCACTGCGCCAGCCACCACCAAAGAGCCTAGCTTCGGCGGGACCTTTGGGGACCAGACTCTGCAGACCCCCCCTAGCCAAACAAGGAACCGCACCCCTAGCTGCCGGAGACCCCCAGAAGGGAAGTGATTGCCTGCTAGCTGCCCAAGACTCCCAGTCCAGGGGAGGAATTGCCTGCCAGCTGCCAGAGACCCCCAGCACAGGGGAGAGATTGCCTGTTAGCTGCCCGAGACCCCCAGTCCAGGGGAGAGATTTCCTGCCAGCTGCCTGAGGACTCAGCCCAGAAGGGAACACCACCCGCATGATCCGGACTCCAACAGGTACTTGTGTTCCACTTTCTATCCCTGGGAGACCAGGCACCCAGTCGGATCCGTGAGTATATGCATTCTCCCTGTTTTACCTGAACTGTTCCTGTACTGACCCCTCACCCCCCCGTTGGATTACAATTGCTACAGAGACTCTATAAGTGTTCTAGCCCCTCCTTGCTACCCTGTACAGGCAAATTTATCCTCCCCGCAAGTCCCTCTATTGCGTGACTGTCATCTGTTTGTCTCAATAAAGCTTTTTGCGTTTGCCATCTACTCTGTGTGTTCTGTCCTGCCTACCCTCCATCACAGGGACAGTGCACCACCAATGTTAATTATTACGTGCCAGGTGCTTTCAGCTACCTTTAAAGGGTACCCCATACATTAGGAATGCCTGCTGTTTAAGATCATTTATGAGCATTAAGTGTTTTTTTTCAGCCTGAAAGCTCCTCTCAAAAATATGATCCAGTAGGGTTTTTATTTCCCCTAAACACTGAGCTTAAAATATGCTTCTAAACATCCTAATGTGCATAGACACATAGTATAACATTGAGCTGCTTCTAGAGGCAGGATAACAAAAAAACACAAAACCCCTGTAGAAGCAGTGTTTTGTAAGCCTAGTGTATATATAGACCTGAAAAAAAAAAAAATATAATAGGGGGCATGGGCATTTTAAAGCATAAATCACCCCCTCTGTGCTGCAATTATAGAAATCTCTTATTTCATAATCTCCCTATTTTTAGGGTTAACATACTCCTTGGTATTGCTCAGGAAAGTACATGTCTTTGTCAAGGTCCTACCTTTCCTCAGGGCTTGTGCTGCTCCATGTGCTGGCATCCATCTTAGGTGTCTGCAAAGCATTGTGGGATCCTTTATGCTTTCAGCCCCCTGCGGCTTCTCCCCCAGGAGGTGGCGGCTTATCACATATAAGTCTGCTGTTTGTAGCTGTTCATTGCATTCGTGTCCTGTCTGTTGCACAGCAGCAAGCTCCTGTTTAGTTTCTCATTGCTCTCCTGGATACCGACTCGGCTTTGGCAAGACTCCTTCCTGGCTTCTGACCCCGGCTCTGGCGACCATCCTTCCTGGCTTCTGACCCCGGCTCTGGCGACCATCCTTCCTGGCTTCTGACCCCGTCTCTGGCGATCATCCTTCCTGGCTTCTGACCCCGGCTCTGGCGACCATCCTTCCTGGCTACTGTTCTACCAAGTCACTCGCTGTTGCTGTTGGACTTGCATAGACTCTGTCTTGTTTTTGTATAAACCTAGCTTTAATTGCACCTCCTTGTGTGTCTGGCTCCTCGCTCTCTGACAGTCTTACAGTGGCCACACCTGAAACTACCTTTTGCTTTGTCAGGTAGCCAAGTGTGTTTCATTGATGTTTTAGAGGTTTTTTCTAGGTGACTATGTACTAACATGTCTCTCAAATTCCTACCCCATCTGTAGGTTATCTTAGGGTCTTTAGATAGAATCTGTGATAGATATTTCTCCTCATGCAAAATGTTAGAATATCTCTTTATGATGTTGAAAATCTGCCCGGATTGATTTGAGTATGTACCTATGATACGCATGCCATTCTGATCATTCACTTTTATGGTTTTCTGACCCAACAGAGATTCTCTCGGAACCCCTTTCACTTTCTCAAAGGATTTAATCAAATCAGTCTTATGATAGCCACGTCTCATAAATCTGTGAAACAATTTTTGACTCTCCATTTGGAATGCCCCTTCCGTTGAGCATATTCTCTTTTGCTCTTATAAATTGACCAGTGGGGATTCCTCTTTTCAAGCCTGTTGGATGTGAACTTCCCCAATGTAACAGGCTATTCCTGTATCCATAGCTTAACTATAGTCATAGAAAACCTAGAGACCTCAAAGGGGCTGAGCAGTGTCAAGTTACAAAATAATTTATATAGATAGCAGTAACATTTTGGCAAATATATTTAGAAACTGTATACTGTGGGTATAAGACTGGGTATGGCCTCCTCCAACCAGTGCTTCCTGCCCTCCAAACATTTCCAGCAGCTAGATAGCTAATACCAGAAATTTACCCCAAGCCTCATGCACAGATAAGATGTTGAGGTAAAACCAAAGGAATAACTGTTTATGAAAACCCAGACACATATTTTATACCGCCCAGGAGGATATTCCCTTCTTGGGCATATTAACATAGATAAGACAAGATGTACAGCTAGTAAAAACTCGACAATGCAACTTAAAAACATTAATCTAAGTAACAGCTAGGCACCTAGACAAGTCTTATAAGTTTGGCTAGTAGTCACAGGAATTCCCTACCCTGCCTTCCTTGTCTATTTGCTGGAAAACATGTCCATAGAAAGTCTAGATTAGCCAGGGCCTACCCACCAGGATGCCCAGAAACTGTTCCACAGCACAGGATACATAAAGTACATTACACCACTCGTTTCTAAATGTCCCACCCCAGATCCAGCATGGATCTAGGTTACCAAGAGGCACATCTTCAGTGGAAATTGTATAAAAAGTTAATACAAAGTTGGTAGTAGCTGGGGCAAAATGGGCAAATGCTGCATTATGCAGCTCTCAAGGACCGGCCAGGGCAAGATAAGAAGTATGTCAAAGAAGAGTTACATAAATAACCCTGACTGATGAAGGTGCGTCTGCACAATCTGTCCAACACGATGTTCCTGCAGAGGCACAACTGTTCTGGGGACTTCCTGGCCGCATAATCCCAGTAGATATTCCCAGTCAGTCAAAGAGTTTCAGGACCCAGCTGTTCTCCATGCTCTGATCGGGGGAAGCAGATAAAAATCCATTCCATTATCAGTGGGTAGAAGGTTAACCCATTATTATTATTATTATTATACAGTATTTATAAAGCGCCAATAGTTCGCTCAGCGCTGTACATTACAGAGAACATGTGACAGAACAATACCAATACAATGCAAAACATGAGGGGATCGAGGGCCCTGCTCTTTCGAGCTTACAACCCATAGCCCCCTCCAAAAGCCCCTCTCTCAGTTGGGTCTGTCACAGTATCATTGGGGAATCACCATAAAGTTGTCATGAAAACAGATAGGATTCTTTACAGAAATGGCCTCTAAGGAGATGAGTGGAGAAGCAAGGAGTAATGGTTTTGCTACATTAATATTTTCACTATAGAAGTGATATATTTTAAGTAAGTTTGTCATACATACTATGTTTTCTCTTAACTAGTCTTTATTAATACCTATCTTTTTTACAGCTAACATCTTATGGTGGAGTCTTGAGGTATACCATGTCCTATGATATCCCTGTGGAAAGTTTAGATGGGGCACTGGTTTCCAATGTAGACCTTGTTATGCAGGTAATTGTTGTATTCTGTCATGTACTTTCATAACTTATAATATTCAGGCACAATGCAATAATCCTAGTGATACTGAATTGGGATGAGGTTTTGAGTTCACTGTTGTCATAGGTTCATGGTAAATCATTTGGCTTAAAACTTTGCAGGTTCTAGAAAACAATGTCAAGATTGTCTTGATTAGTACAAAAAGGCAATCTAAATGGTATTAAGAATACATATACTTACGTATTTTTGCAATATTTGCAAGTTTAAATAATATGCAAAAAACTTTAACATTTTAGAAATTACAATCTTACTATTGTGAAAACAGTAATTGTGGGAGGTCTACTTAATACAAAAATATATCATGGCACTTTTAAAACTAACAATATAGTAAAACTTGCAATTTACTCCATAGAAAGGTGCTATAACATATCTAATGAAGTATTTAGCTGCACAATTATGTAAGGAAGTATAATTTAAAAAACTGGAGAACAGCTGGTAGCTCAACTGTTTTTCTATCCCTAAACTACTGAGGTCCACAGAGAAGTAGTAAGACAACGGCATGTAACTCATAAAACCTGAGGTTGACATGCCTGCTCTAACATGTGAGTCACAGAATCTTTTGCTGTCAATGGGTCTGATATACGCGCAGATGGCCAAAGTTACATGCCAGTATTCCTAGAAGTAAAATAGGGATGCTTGTGGGAGATTTCAGTGATCATATGGTTGTAAAAGGGTCAATGTAGTTTTAGCCCTAAAATGACCCTTTGGTGACATAAAATAGCCTAAACGTAGGCTATTCTACATGAGCAGGTATTATACCATGTGGTGTGTATTACATACCTGTACAGTTACATTCCAGCACTCCCATATGCCTCCAGGGCTTCCATAAAATTATATGCAAGTTCTTATGGTAAGAACATAGGAATGCCCTACTCTGTAATTAATTTTGTGAGGATTGGGCCTCTTGATCGGTCCCTGGAGCAATCACAATAAAAATCATTCAAGCCTTTCTTATAGCTTTCTTTTCAGAATTCATGTACAGTTTTGCTGGATAGTAATGGAAATACAGTTCTTAACTCTCAACATGTTCAGTCACTAGTTTTGCCTATTCAAAGTAAACACTAAACAAAAGTTTTTAAATATTGTTTTTCCATTTCTTTATACACAGTAGCTTGTCACTAATAGTATTTATATCTTTAGTCCTGTTTTCCGGAGATTTTTGTCTGTATCCTCCAGTCAAGTCCTCTGCTATGAATCTACTGTTACTTCCTTCGTCCCACCTGTAACTCTCTCATTGCTTTTTACTTGCTTACTTACATTTTATTACCCATTTTTCTCCCCAACCTATATGTAAAGACTGCCAGCCATGACTCGAATTTTGACCGTTTATCCTAAATTGGTCAAAATTCGAGCTGTGGTACCCTGTGGCACTACTCAGCTTGACAACAGACAAATGTTCAAACAACTCTTGTCAAAGGATATGGGTGGAAGATTATTGGCTGCATCTAATGAGATTCAGGCACTGTCAGAGTAATCTGGTAGCTGCGGCCTCTGGCTGTCAGAATACAATAGCCAGAAGGGCAGATTTGTCAATCCACATTAGATATCTTTTGTTTAGGCTGAGCAAAATATAGATGCATGTATGGCCTGCTTTAGTTTCTCTGTTCTTTGTCTTTACCATCCATCGTTCTATCTTTCATTGCCCATCCCAATTTCTTATTTTTGCTTTCTCTGCTAATCTCATTTATTGGTCTTTTCTTTCACTATTTTCTCTGACCTAAACTTTTCAGTCAGACATTACCTTCCCTTTTTTTTAAATATCTTCTAAAGCTGACTCTCCTTCAAAGGTTGATGTCAGACAGTGGTCACTTATCATATAATCAAACCCATAATGTTGGTCAAGTCATCCAGCTATCTACCAAACAGCTATAGAACCTCAAACAATTCAGCCATATATGTAGATGACTATTTTGTAAATACATGCAAGACTTTCATGGCATTTTGATGTTGGGACATTCAATTTAATGTGGATTGTTTAGGAGTTTTTCAAAACTGTCTTGGCCACTCTAGTGTAACAGGTTCTCATTTCATGGTATTTGGACAGATTATAAAATGAAGGACAGAAAATGAGTGCAACACACATTTTGATTGTTTCCCTCCTGTTATACACAGTGTACAGAATATAAACACAGCATATAGACTTCACAGTCCAATTCTCTTTCAGGGGAGTGGTATCACCATAGGCACAAAGACTGAAGGTTTACTTCTTCAGCCATATGAAGAACACACAGCTGAAATAAAACTTCTTCCTGAAAACTTTCTGGACTTCTATACAAAGAGACCTGTGGATCGAGACAGGCTAATGACTGTTCTAGCTAATATTAATCGCCTCCTGATACGAGCTACCTACTACCTACAACAATGCCAAAAATACAGTCACCAGGTAGTATGAAGGCTTTACAGTATTAAGAATGGCTATTAAAATACATATATTTAATGGAAACTTTCAGCATTTAGATTCAACATTTTTTATATTTACTTTATACGTTTATACATATTTTATGTTTTGTATAAAGTTTTATATCAATTGTTTAAACCTTTTTGAAAATCTTTCTTTTAAAAATACACATTGGTGCACCCATGGTACAGATTTTACATTATGAGTTTTCTAAAGAAAAAGCATAATAGAAGTTGCATATTTTAAGAAACTAGGGTAGGAGAAAAGTTGTTACTCTAATCCATTCAGTTCTGTGTGTACATGTCATCTTGGGCTATTGAACTTTGTCAGCAAGAAGCTTTTTTTTTTTAAAGTGAAGCTTATAAGAGGTAACCATGGGGCAAGATACCTAGACCCCCACTTGCTGATTGGATAAACAAATTAGAAATATTTTTAGTCTTAACCATAATAAATAAAAAAAGAAACTATATATACTGTACAAAACACTGTACAATTTTCTTAAAGTGGACTTATCATCAAATATATTTTTTCATACATGCATGCTTGCTAATTTATGCATAAGTGTAACACTTCTAGGTGTAGAGTTAGCATCTACTTTTTGTACTGAGATGCTGGCTCAAAAATGGCACAATCATGTAAATCATGGTGCCAGGGCAGTTCTTGATTGCAGTCATTTAGATCAGCCACTGATGCAGCCGCTCACCTTGTAAGTGCTGCAACTACAATATACATTGTTGCAGTTTGATCACTGGGGGAGAAGAGACATTATCTCCGCCTAGGTAAAGTCGCTTGGCTGGAATTTTTAATGATAGAATATTTTTTTTTTGTAAATTGTACTGTTGCAGTGTACTGTGAAACTGCTGGGAATATATTCTTGCAGACTTGTAAAGTTACTTACGGTTCAATTTAAGAATACTGAAATTGGCTTTACTATAAAAAATTGCTGCTGCTATACAATTGTATATATGGCACAGTTGTGTGGCTTTGTGTATTGTGTGTCTGGAGAGCTAAAACAAGCTACAAGACACAGTGCAAACACAGTATTCCACATACAATTTTTTAGAACAACCAAGTAAACAAATATTTTTTTCATTTGGGTATAGGTGCATAAACAGACTGCTTACCCAAGTATTCAGTTTGCATAAATATAAGTCATATTCAATTATATATACATTCAGCTTTTTTAATCATTTTTCTGTTTCCTAGGCTAAACTCGGTGACACTTGATACAGCTACACCTAATGTGATTGACCTCCTGCCAGCTGTACAAGTAGAAAACTGTGAATGTCCCCCTGGCTATGCTGGCACATCCTGTGAGGTAATGGGCTAATGTAGACTGTTCATTTAATTTTGCTATAGGCTTTACATTTATTTTTGTTAATTGAAAAAAAAAAAACTATTTTAATTAAAACAAAACAATAAATAAGAGTTGCCCTGATTTTTAAAAATTGGAGCAGCTAAACGTTGTGCTGCTTATAGACTAAGTCTAAGTATAATCACTTGCTAGATTTCATTATCAAGATTTTGCTGTAAGAATGACAGCTAGAATCTGATTGGTTGCAGCTTCTCTGGATCTCTTTGTTATGAGTTTAAAAATGAATCTTGGCATATGCTTAAAGTTGATGTTACTAAATATGTGGAACCACTGGAGCCTTTGACATATCATAATGACTTGATCTATTCAAAGTAAATATTTCCTTTTAACTAAATAATGACAGTGTTTAGGGTGAGGAGGGTGAAACTTAAAGCTGCTGTTTGGACTTGTGTGTGGTGTTTCTTGGCTCTTCTCTAGAGGTAGGCACTTCATTTAAAGTTGCCAACATATTTGCTTGAAATAGAGAAGGAAAAAAGGTTGAAAAAGTGTTAGTGTTCTAAGAAGGTTGGATCCTACTTTTATCCATACCTAGTGTCTGGAGAACATATATAAAGTAGAGCGTTAATTGGCTTAAACTTTTGTCAAACTGTTAAGCCACTAGGAAGACAAGCCAGTCACCCAATCACCCAGAATAGTTTTTTCCACACACCTCAGAGAAATCTGCTTCTAAGAATGTTTACTTGAATATTGTAGATATTGGAAATTGGGTCTCAAGCTGCAAAATTTCATTTTTCAGTCTTGCATACCTGGATACTATAGAGTTCGTGGAACCCTCTTCGGTGGAATTTGTCAGCCTTGTGAATGCAACGGACATGCAACAGACTGTGATATCCATGGTGCTTGTTATGTAAGTTAGTTGTCCTAATGGTACTGTGTTCTTATATAGCACACCTACATTTTTAAATGAGCCACACGTAGAAACCAGTTGTCTTGATCATCTCCATGTATTTTCAGTTTTTCTTAACCAATTTTAGAAATGTCATTTCTATTAGAAATGAAAACCAAAATATATTATAATGTAATTATTATTAATAAGTAAATGTTTATACATGTACAGAGGATGTACAACAGGAATGCTCTAGAGCAGGGGTCCTCAAACTACGGCCTGCGGGCCACATGTGGCCCGCCGAGGCCATTTATCCGGCCCGCCGGCAGGGACGTATTTTCCGCAAGGAAGGGACACTAAGTACAGGGGGGGGGGCAGGGGGCTGCTGTACCTTACCTGGCTCCAGTCCCAGTCCCACGACGATCCAGTCCAGGAAGCGCTGCTCCTTCATTCACTCCGGCCACTCCCTCATTCCTGCCGCTCGGCTCCACCTCCTCACTGGTGATTGGGCGCCAGAACTGTAGCTCAGGAAAGGCACACAGGCGGCCAATCACCTGCGAGGAGGCGGAGCCGAGTGGCCCAGCGAACATCGAGTGAGGGAGAGGCCGGAGTGAAGAAGGACAGCTGATAGGTAAGTGTGCCGTGCAGATGGTGCTGCTGCAACCAGGTATGCTGGCTGCAGCAGCACCATGCTGGAAAAGGGTCAGCAAGTTAAGTGTCATTGGTGTCAGTGGGAGGAATAGTGCCTCATCATTGTCACTGATACTAATGATGGGGCATTATTCCTCCCACTGACACCAATGATGGGGCACTATTCCTCCCCCCCCACTGACACCAAAGATGGGGTACTATTCCTCCCCCCACTGACACCAACGATGGGGCACTATTCCACCCCCCACTGACACCAACGATGGGGCACTATTTTGCTCCATAAGACACACTTGGGGGAAATATCTGTGCGTCTTATGGAGCGACCGGCCCAGTATTCCCACCACCGTTGTATGTCCGCAGTCTCTGGTCATCTCCTGTAGTATGTCCGCAGTCTCTGGTCATCTCCTGTACTATGTCCGCAGTCTCTGGTCATCTCCTGTACTATGTCCGCATTTGTTCATAGTTTTTTTTTTTTTAAACTATAGTCCAGCCCTCCAGCGGTCTGAGGGACAGTGAACTGGCCCCCTGTTTAAAAAGTTTGAGGACCCCTGCTCTAGTTACCAAGAGTTTGCAAAACACTTCATTTAGTGGTTTGTGTCTGTGCCATGGTATCCATAAAAAAATTTAGATTACCTTGTGTATAATAAAGACAAATATTTGAGATAATAATTGAAATTGAGAATACTACAATATCAAAGATCTGATCACCAGTCATTAGCAGCTTTACTCATCAAGAGAGTACTTGCACAGGAATAAAGCCTTAAATTCCAGGGTTCGTCTAGATAAGCAATAACAGGTTGGTGCTTGTGAAAGTTTACATCAGCCAAGGGAATGTCTAGCCAGCATAGACCTCATATCATCTGCTGATAATCTTGGAATGTCACACTGGATTTACCATATCCTTTTTTGGAGCAAGAATACACTGTCACTGGCAAGCACTATAATTTTACATTTATCCTGTGAACTCCTAACTTCCTTTTTTGAGTCAATACCGCTGCCTATTCTGCACTGAAATCCCAAACAACATTATCAGTTCTGCCTAAATTCTCCTCACCTGGACTACAGAACATCTGCCATTATGTTATTGAGAGGAGGATAGAGTGAGGCATTCTGTAGTCTAGCATAAAAGAACTGTGCAGGGCTGACACTAACACTGCTCAGGATTCCAGTGCAGCACAGGCAGAGTGTTGTCAGCTCAAATAGCAAATCAGGAGTTCACCTGATTTGCAGTGAATGAGTAAGTGTTTTTCTGTGTTTGCAATGTTCTTAAAAGGGCTAAACATGGGGAAATGTGCATGTATTGCAGAAATGTACTGAATCTTTTTTTTTTTCCAATTTTGCCCAAACACTATAACAATCATAAAAATATGTGTAAGTTTTGTGTACGTGACAAAACTGCTTGAGAAACAGCAAGTTTCTAAATATTTATTTAAGCTGATGTAGCAAAATGTGTACCTAATTGTATTGTGGGTTCATTTCATGTAGGACTGTCAGCACAATACTACAGGTCCCCACTGTGACCAATGCCTTTCAGGATTCTATGGAGACCCAACTGCAGGAACACCTCAGGACTGTCAGCTCTGTGCTTGTCCTTTAACTGCACCTTCCAACAAGTGAGGGTCTTTTCTTTTTGTCATAATCAGCATGTCACAGATTGTTAATATTTATGGGTATCATTTTGTCCTTAGTACTACAACTGATTACCATAGGATAACTTGGTATCGTTATTTTACTAGTCAATAAATCAACATATTTTTCCCCTTTCAGTTTTAGTCCAACGTGTTATTTGTCTGGAGAAGAGGACATGATATGTGACCAGTGTGCACCTGGTTATACTGGACCACGGTGTGAAAGGTATGCATCTATCCATGATTGCTTCTTTAGGTTGAGAAAATATGGAATTGCATTGTCTCATGTATGAAAAAATGTAGGCTATTATCCTAAAACTAGACATGCTTGACTACAGAAATAAGGAAAATGCATAGTTTAGGTTGAATATAGTTTTTATTTGTTTTATCAATAACATATTCGGCACCAGGGGCAGACTGACCATTTGTAAACTCGGGCACTGCCCGAGGGCCCGGGGTCAGTAGGGGGCCCCATGAGATGCCCCTGGTACCTTTTTCATAGGCTTTTTTGAGTTTGGGCAAGGACACAGGGGCCCCATGCTCCCCTATTGCCCGGGGGCCCCATGAGTTGTCAGTCCACCCCTGTTTGGCACATCGAGAAAACGATAACATCCATTCCCAGCAAGACATGAACTATAGGATAATTGACAACTAAACATGATGGAATTACAATGTATAAAATATTATTAATATGACGTATATATAGATACTAGAATAGAGATAACTGTAGAGGGGTCAGATAAAAGAAAAGAAGTCTGGAAAAGAACATTAGGAAACATAGGTAGGGATACAGGAAAGTTAAGAATTAATCTGGAAGCTCCTGTCCCGCGAAGATGAATTTTCTGCCAAGAGAAAGTCATTTAACAATCATTATAAAGAATCCCACTATCAACTGCATAGGAGCGAAGTGAGGGGTAAGAGCCCAGTGAAGGTCATGCAGAGATTAAATGTATCAAGGGATTTTATGAAGAATAGGGTATCCACACCATCCACATGGTTGTAATTTTAATCCACGTATCAGAGTAATTCTTTAAAAAAAACTCTTTTAAAAAGACTTAATTATGCTACTGGTACTGTACTGGTGCATTAAGCAGAAATGGAATGAAGCATAGAGAGAACCAGTATGGCTGAAAGCTGAGCAGATAACATTTCACGTTGCATTACAGGTGAAGGTAGAAATAAACTCTGTTACAGGTCCTGTTGGTGTGAATCGGGGAGGTACTGTACAAGTCAGAGTCAGCTCACTACTTTTCATTTGGCCTGAAAAGCCCTAGTAATTTGTTACAGATTTGTGCCATATAGTCAGCACAGTAATGTCCTTTGGCAGTTTTCTTTATTGGGGAAACGAATAACCTATTAGTACTGATGTCGCCAGCTTAGTCACTTAATTGCTGACACATTCAAATTATGCAGGTTTGATGACTAATTTAAACCAGGCAATAAAAGAGAGTGTATGCAAGGGACTGGTAATTAAAGAGATGCATTGGGAACCTGTTTGTTATATTAACACCGAAAAGCACTGATGAGAATAATATCTATTGTTGTATTATTGTTCCATTATTCAACACATTGGGGATATGCGTGGAAGGTCAGTACCAACAATATTTAATTCTAAAAGGTTCACTGATGTTTATTGCTCTGTGAAAAATGGTGTGGAAATTTGTTATGGGATTTATACTGCAGTTTATGCCTGAACATTGCTGTGTTTCAGAATTAACCAATCACATTCAAACTGATGTTAAATAGTAGTCAGTACACAGTCACTGCCATCAGTGAAAGTGACTCTGATTAAGCCTTTATAAAGATCAGCTGTTCTATTAGGATATTTCTGACAATTACTCAGTTGCCTTTTACAACAAAAGCCATAATCCGGAAAGAGTTTACAAAGCATCAAAGGGATCACATTGTTGGAAAATATCAGTCAGGGGAAGGTAAAAAAAAAAAAAAAATTCCAAGGCATGAGATATACCATGGGACACAGTGAAGACAGTCATCAACAAGTGGAGAAAATATGGCACAACAGTGAGTTTACCAAGAACTAGAAACAAGAAGAAAACTGATCCAGGAGGCTTCCAAGGGGCCTATGGCAACATTAAAGGAGCTTCAGGAATTTGTGGCATGTACTGGTTGTGTACTACAATCTCCCAAATTCTTCATATGCCAGAGCTGTGGGGTAGGGTGGTGGGACAGACGTGTTTTCTTACTAAGATGAACATCCAAGCCCAGCACATTTTGAAAGAACCTACTTCAAGTCTGCTAAAAGCATGTGGGAAAATGTGTGATGGTCTGATGAGATCAAGATTGAACTTTTTGGCAATAATTCCATAAAGTATGTTTGGTACAATACCAGCACTGCGCATCACCAAAAAAAAAACATTGTACCCACAATGAAGCATGGTGATAGTAGCATTAAGCTTTGGGGCTGTTTTTCTTCAGCTGGATCTGGGGCTTTAGTCAAGGTGAATGAGAACAGTTCCAAATATCAGTCATTTTTGGCACACGCATCTGCTAAAAAAACTGAATGTAAAGAGGAATTTCAGTTTTCAGCAGACAACGACCCAAAGCATTTCTCCAAATCAACAAAAGAATGGCTTAACCAGAAGAAGTTCAAAGCTTTGGAATCATCTAACCAGAGCTCAGGCCTAACTCCAGTTGAAAATCTGTGCGTTGTCATGAAGAAGGCTGTGCACAGGATGTGCACAGGGAAGACGTGCCATGCTGATAGAGTAGACTCTTACC